AGCTCTTGCAGCAAAAGCGGCAAATTGTCTTGCAAAACAGCGCGCAGAGTTGGAGAGAGCAGACGACGGCCCAGAATTTTGAAGCGTGTCTTGTTTTTGGGGGGGAGTTTTCGGATGGCCCGTTGCTGGCGTCGGTCCCCGTTTCGGTATTCGTTCTTTCTGCTTTTGCCTAAAGGCCAGACTCATTGCCTTCCTCGTTACTTGCTTTATTAACGCGCTATGGGAATTCAAAAAACAACAAAAAAAACCCAACCACCACCAAACCAACGCAACGCAACCCCAACGAAACCTGACAAAGCAGCACTCCGCGCAAATCAGAGCGCGACGTTCCAGCTGGCAACCTCACCGGGAAGACGATGCCGCCTGGCGGGGGTGGATCCCGCCCGGTCCGCGGAGGAGGAGAGAGGAACGACTGTCCCTCCAGCTCCGGCTCCTCCGCTCCCACCTGCCGCCTCGAAAACAATCGTCGTTTCCACGTTATGACACTCACCAGACACGTCCCGCCGCTCACGCTGTCTGAGCCTCTTCTGAGGCTCCGTGCAGCGTTTCCTGATTAATTATATTTAGTTCTGATGATGATGTTTGCCTAAACCCCGCTAGCAAAGCGACCAGCACCGACTCCTCTCTCAGCCCCGGACCGGATCCCGGCGTCACGACGCGTCAGCCCCCGGCGAAGGCGGACGCCACGCCACGCGCCCGATTGCTACCGCGTCCGCCTCGACACGCCGGATTCCCAAAGTTTTGACCCAAATTGCAGCGTCACCTCCCGTCGGCAGATTATAACCACCTGGAGCATCCCGCGTCGCAGCGGGGGTCTGCCCTCCGGCCCGGCCGACAGCCCCCGTCCCCGGACGGGGAGCGCAGATGGGTATTCACTCACCGGCGCGGGCGCCCACCAGGTCCCCCGTTAGGGCGGCCAAGGCTTTGCTCTCGGAGGCGGCCGGTCGGAGCAGGCGAAGCCCAGGCGGAGCGGCAGGCGCCGGGGCTTTCTAGGAAATCTCAACGAGGAGAACTCCCGCTGTCGGCACCGCCACAACCCCCTGCTCTCGGAGGAAGCCGGGAGCGCAGATGGCTACAGGCAGAGAATAAATATTTCATTAAGTCCGAGGTGAGGGTTTTTTCCTTATGTGCAGGTTTGCTGGCTGCCGCTTTGGCAACTGCTCCCCCTTCCGACAGCCTCTTTCTTCCAGGAATTACTGCAATTATTTTTGTCATCCCCAAACAAGTTAACCCCTTCCCGCGCAGCGCAGCGTTCGGAGGCAGCCAGAAGGTCGCTCCGCGCGTAGCAAAGCCCGTTTGTCTCACTGCCGCGCCGTGACAGTTTGCGCGACGCGGCGGAGCTGTTGCCACGTGTCGTTCTCTTGCTGCTGTCCTCCGGCTCATGTCGTCACTTTTCTGTTTACCTCTTTTCAACAAAATAAACGTCAACGCAGGGGAAAAAAAAAAAACCCAAAAAACAGAGGGACTTTCTCAGTGGTTGCTGGCATCCTGGCGGAGGCAGAACGGGCATAGTCTCATCCGAGCTGATCCTTTGCAACTTTTGATTAAAATCACGTTTACCATCGGTCACAATCGCATCTATTTCCATCTCGCGCGCACCTGACGCCTGGGCATCGTTGTTTGTTACTCCGACGATGAGCTTTTTTCTTTATTCTTTTTTTTAAGGATACGCAACAGAACAAGGTTTAGCTCATTTTTATTTTTCCAGGTAAACGGTGGCTAGAAGGGAACGACGCTCAGCTGCGAGTTGGGCGGTGTCCGGAGAGGGGAAAGCACCCCCGAAACGGGCATCAGGTGCCTCCTGCTTGCGAACCACAGGGAACCCTGGAGAAGGTAACTCTCACTTGCTCATATTCCCTCCTCTGCCCGGAGGTTTGGTAAGGAGAAAAGAAAAGAAAAAAAAAAGGAAATAAAGGAGAGAAACCTTCAGCTCTTCGGCAATCCGCTCGGCTCCACCTCTCCCGCTCCTCTCCGCCTGGGAGAGCTCCCCGTTTCGGGACGCGTCGCCTCACTCTGGCCCTGCTTTCGACAGGAGCGAGGGGAAAAGGTGAGGGGGGGAAGAAAAAAGCACTGTTTTCTCACCCAAAGGGGCCCCGGGGACCGTTTCGGCCTGGCGGCGCCGGCGGATCCCCGAGGCG